ACTTTTCTCGGGAGGAGATCAGTGATGGTAGATCTTGACACCATGTTGACTGTATGCCATATATTAATACGGTTTGACATGGTTGGCCGCTGTCGCATATGGCTGTGCACAGTTGAACACGGTTGTAGAGCGTACACGAGGGACGTGTTTCTTCACCCCTCTCAGCAATATTCAGCCTTCTGACTGCAGCGAGGGACTACAGCTAAAATAGGGTCTGCTCACGGCGCCAAGACAAAGCTATGACCACTAAACTTATAACTTCTTTACCCAAGCAGGAATTCCAACATGCCTCTTCTACGCTTTAACCACTTTCTCTACTCCCCCTTTTTCGTGTTATGCATGATGATTGCAGTCGTTGCACTGATGACCACTCAAGATATACATGCAGATGTTTTAAAAAAAAAATGTATTCACTTATTATATGCATGTATATTATGGCTAGCTGACCTTTTACATGTGATCTAATACTATTCTTTCGATTTCCTTGCATATAAGAGTTCGGTTGCCCTCGTGAATAAAGAGTTCGCTAATTTACACAGGTCAAACCACTACATAGGTAAACTGAAGCTCTCTCACTGCCACCATATAGCATTGCATAATCTTGTTTGTTTGTTTGTTGTTTAACGCCGCACTATATTACGTCGGTCTGTAAATAATCCAGTCTGAACCAAGCCTTTGGTTTGTAATTCTGGAAAATCTTTACTTTTGTTATTATTATGTTATTCAAATATTTTCTTATATATATTGAACAAAGTGTAAATCCTGAATAAAAGCTATTTAACCCTAAAAACGTTAATTACCCGTAGTGACCGCGATATTCATAATTCAAAATCTAAATATCAGTTCAATGGCATGAGAAACAAAATACACTTGATCGATAGTAAAAGTACCTAAAGACATCGAAAATGTTTCTCTCTCAAATGAAACAAGCAGTGTCGGATTAATGTTAGTCGGCATTTAGTAAACAAGGACAAATTGACCAAAACATTCGACCCGAGGTGTACACGCAGGTGGTATTTTCTAGCGATCTCTCATGTATCTTCGTGCGGATTTCAGTGACATCCAGGCGAAATGCTTTCAAGTTGATCAAGGACACGAGTAAGGCGACTGGAAACAGCTGATATAAATTTATGTTCACGTTTCAGTAAACCAATATTACAGTATGCAATAGAGGTGTGTTAAAATAAACATATAAAAAATGCAATGCAAATTCTGTCTCTTTTGGTAATTACTACCACTACTACTTATACCAAAAGTTGTTCAAACATGGTACTTGTTGTTACCCTGTCTGGCCCTCGGCATTGAGGGGCTAAAACAAAGACCGGTCGGCTCGGAGTCAGTATACTGTGCCTGGCATCTCAGTTGTCTAGCGCTATAAAATCGGCATTTGTCCTGACTAGTACAAGCAGCCACACATACACCTCCCCCCAACCCCTAACCCCCACACATATGCATGCACGTCGCTATATAAGTACAATAATCTTGAACGCGACGTTAAACCCCATTTCACCCCACCTACTACTACTACTACTACTACTACTACTACTACTACCTTTTATATTTTTACAATACAAACTCTGTTCTACCGCTTTTACGCAAATTGAAACAGATGTTCTTCTGACACAACAGTCGACAGTATGAATAAACTAATCTTACTGCACCCCCGTGGAATAAACAAAACATACTATAGACAAAATAATTTCTATTCTGTTATAGTTATGGCCCAACGATAAGATCATAATTGAATAGAGATAATTAAGATCAATAATAATACCAGGAAACAATAAAGAAGAAATTTAATCTATGAAAAATAGCAATATTAAAAAATAACCGATGAATGAAATGTAATAAATGATATGATACAGCTAAACGCAGTTAATACTATATGAAATTCTACCGCTTCCTTTTTCGTGTCAAAGCAAAGTAGTTCTCCTGTTACTTACATCAATTTTGTATAAAACTTCCACAGTTAACACAGATAGTGCTTTGATTAACGACAGTTTTTAGTTTTTACTGACGTAGACGGAGTTTTTTTGTAAAGTTTTGTGAAGTTATAACTGTAAGAATAGACATATTATTGCCTTTTCTCTCCAACAGAGGTTAATGATTACTCAATTATCATAACGTTACACGAGGATATTGGCATTGTATTTGTAACTTTCCTCAAATTTTACAAAATAAAGTGTTACACAATACTTTAGATTAAATTTCGTTTGGCAAAACTTCATGAAATTGTTTTTAGACTTGGAAAATGTGACATGAAATTGAAGAATCTTCAACGAAGGATGTGACAAACACGAGTTGGGTCTTTTTACAAAGGCCTAGAAATCAGATCTTGTTTAAGGTGATCTTGGTTGAATTGGTAAACTGACAACCGATATCATTTAGGATATTAAAAACCCCAGCTGGATTACATTTATTTATGACAAGAAACGATCTAACAAAATATTCACATTGAACAGCTTTGTTTGAAATACCAAAGCTGAAGCGTTAGTTTCCCCCAAGATGGGATTTAGCGGCACATGATCCCAGTATCTCCTACACAGACGTAATACTTCCACTGACATATGGGCTTATTGGAAAAGGATTCCGAGAAGTATTTTTATTTAACGAAGATTTAATCACAGGAAAGTGTCGTGGTTTGTACGGAACATGTGTTGTTTCTAGCGGAAGTGGGCACCTTGGCTCAGCCCCAACGTGAGAACGCTATAGAGCATATGGTCTTATCAAGCATTGATAGAAGCGATACTTATGTATATAACGTGATAGCGTTTCTTAACATGATGAAATCAGTGTGTTGAGAGAGTTCATGTCTATCCTATTTGTTTGGGGGAAATGAGCGTTAGTTTGACGCCGTTCAACACGAGAGTCTCATGAACCACGTTTTATATCTCCGTCGGTCTAGATTTCCTTGTAGTTTAAACATAACAGTTGGTATCATATTCCCATGCGTGTGCATCTACAATCCTTGATTCAATCATGTCATACGTAAAGTTTGGGAATCACTGATTTAAAAATGTGCTCTAAAAATACGTAAACGTTACAACTTATCGTCAACAAGATACAGTATTACACTTGAAAAGAGCTCAAAGTTCAGGGGTAGAATAGGTCTTCAGAAACCCATGCGTGCCCGTAAAAGGCGACTATGCTTGTCGTAAGAGGCGACTAACGGGATCGGGTGGTCAGGCTCGCTGTCTTGGTTGATGCATGTCATCGTATCCTAATTGCGTGGATCGATGCTCATGATGTCAATCACTGGATTGTCTGGTCCAGACTCGATTATTTACATATCGCCGTCATATAGCTGGATTATTGCTGAGTGCGGCGTTAAACAACATGAAACAAACAAAGATAGTTTCCTTAAGATTCTAATATGTTTCCGATGTTTCAATTACACATTTATTTACATGCAGAGCAGGACCCTTTTCGCGAACACCTGGTGCCATCACTGATTTTCAGTGATACATTCGTATACATTATTATTACTGCTTTGCCTACGCCCTGGAATCAGTGTGAGACATTCGAAACCTATTCCCGTGCTACTTGCCAAATAAACTTAAGATAAGAACTTGCTTATGGGTTCTGGGCTAATTTCAGCAAAACATATTCTGCAACATCTCGACATCAAGATTGTTCAAATGTAGACAATCGAACCCAGGTTTTGAGAGCGGAGAGCGAACGCTTGAACCACCGGCCTAACCTACATCCCCACAAAGTATTTTGTTTCCTTAAGCAACTGAAGTTCTAGACAGTACATAATTCCATCATCAATTACTATCCTTTGTATCATGTACGGCTGTCCAGGTAGCCTAGTGGTTAAAGTGTTCGGTAACTACACCAGAGACACGAGTTCAAACCACTCACCACTCACTGATACACTGCTGAGAACAGCATAAACTAAGTTCAAAAGCAGCTTGCGCTTGTGTTGTGTTCTCACATCGTAGGTTCGTATTATTTGTAAAAATCTAAATTTAAAATAAGATTGTTTCGTTTGTCATTCAACATTTTTTTCTTCTAGATTGCACCACAGGTATTGAACGGTATTTGTTGTATTTGATTAGTATATTTAAATACTTTGGAAGTTACCCAGTAAGCGAATATATCTTGAGCATAACTGACATCTTGAGATACTTTGGAAGACAGAAAAGATAATCCAAATCAACATTCCGATTTATAGATGAACCAGTTTCTATATAACACTAAAACATACAGAATCAGTGGTACCCTCCATTTTTCTAATTCTTAATCTAAATACCAAACTTTAGTTCGGCCGCATCAGAAATAAAATAAACATAGTTCGATCGTAACGTACCATAATACCCCGAATATATTCTTTCTCAAATGAAGCTAACATAATGGCAGTGCTGTAATGTCGGAATAATGTTACTTGTGTTTTTTAGTAAAATACGACATATCGACAACCGAGATGAAAGGATTTGATGGATACTTGTTAATGAAAAAGGTTATATCATATTATAGATAAAGTATCAACATCTTGTCTAATTATGCAAACGCTGCTTTCTTTAGGGCCATTTGGAAAACAGAGGAAGCTAAACGAGAAACAAATAGCAATTTTGAAAACATAAAACCGTCCGCCACAGGTAAAGTGCGAGGCGTTATTTAAGATCACAGTGAATATAATGCCGGCTATATGAGAAACATGAGTATTAATGAACCATTTCGTTTTCGCACATACATTTCAGTACAAAAACACGATTCCCTGTATGTAATCAACACATTAAGCGAGAAATTCATTGCACCTATTTCGGTGCTGAAGTAAGACGTTAAAATGTAATCGAGTTTTATTAGGAACGTTGTTCTCTTTTTATTTCTAATTTCTAAGAGAAAACGGTTTATATTTCAACTAACGCATGAGGCCGAATAGGAGAGTCATTAATGTTAATCTACTTAAAAAAGCATATATAATTGATCTCGGTGTACATTAAGTTTACTTTATCACACAATTCTATTTGATGATCAGTTTATTTTTTAACCTTCAGGCGAATATTCCCAGCCTACAAAACCAAAGTGTCGGGGCTCGACAAGAAATCCAAGTACATCCTCTTAATGGACATCGTTGCCGTCGACGACTGCCGCTACAAATTCCACAACGGCAAATGGATGGTGGCCGGGAAAGCTGACCCCGAGATGCCCAAGAGGATGTACATCCACCCCGACTCCCCCAGCACCGGGGAACAGTGGATGCAGAAGGTCGTCTCCTTCCACAAGCTGAAGCTCACAAATAACATTTCCGATAAACACGGATTTGTGAGTACTTTCGTAAGTTGGAGTCACAAATTTCACTTTTTTTGACAATAGTATATGCATAGTATATTGTAGTCCATCCTGGACTCTTTTCGAAGGCTCTGTGACAACGTCTTGAAAGTTAACGTTTCAGAACGCCAACGACAGAGAATAATTAGTATCGAATATGTGCCGAAACAGACTCCATAGGGTGTAAAAGGCAAAATAGTGACTCAATGTATATATGAACACAGTTCAATACACACAGTTAAATATATATATATGGATCACTGGAAGTCAGTGATGACACCCTCCATACTTAGTAGTCGCAGCGTTAAACGCCATAAAAAACCTATTTCTAATATTAAAACAAAAGATACCAGCCTACCCGTGAGTTTCGTTCGGAAAGTAATCTGTGTTTATGTCCTACAGTCTAACATGGTCTTGCGATGACCGTTCCACTCTCTTCGTAACGTCCGCTGCACCGTCAAGTCTCTACACTGTTGCAGGCATCGCTGTTCCTTCTTTTTGTATATGCAAGACTCTGTGACGATGTTGCATATGAAGAGCGATAACCAGGATATATCAAACGACCGTTTAAACATTCACGTTACTTAAATGAATGTAATCACTATTTGCCTGTGATACTTTGAGGACAAATTAACTTTTTAAATTTAATCATATTTCAAACACAACAACTATATTGGGGTACTAAATACTGACTATCTTGTCCCGAGCTCTGATCCATGAACTTTCGTTCAAACTAGCTCATGACACTCTAAATAGCTCCAAATAAAAAAAATGCAATCTCTTTAAAAAAATATTCAAACATGGCATCTGTCCCTATTTGGAAACCAGCAAGCAAAACCAATCCAGCTGATCTACCCTCGGTGCCATTGTTTCTGCTTTTTACTTATTTTTAAAATTCCTTAAGATTGATTTTAGTGCAGGCCATCTGTTTTCATACATCGGACACGATTTTTATGGAAAGGCGAGATTAAACACGTGGTGAAACGTTAATCATTTTCTTTTCTAAAGGTTTCTTTTAGCTTCGAACCAATAAGGGCGCGAGTTCCAGTCTGGCTCAACCGTTGATAAATTCACTCTGTAGATTTTCCTGCGGTTCTGTCATTGTTTTCATTCGGCCCCACTTCGGCTATTTTCGTATGTCATCGGAGCATGACCAACCTACTGTTCAGATCGTGCATTTGAATTACTTCAGCGTCCCAAGCCTTTCACAGAAAATTTTAATTCGTTTGGAATCAATTGAAACATGGCCGTATGATGAGTTCACTTGGTTTAAGTTTAAGCATTAATGATAGTGTTACGGGGATTGACTTCTGTCGACGAAACTTTCCTGGCGCCTGGTAATAACAGGTACTTGAACGTGTTTTTAATTATGATAATTAGTATTGCTATATAGCTACTTTCTAGACATTGCTGAATTCACTTTATACTTTGCGGAGATTCAAAATCGTCATAGCTCTTAAACATTATTTGCTATTGCTGCATGAGAGGGCAGACGCATTTATGTGTCGTCAAATTGAATGGGTATTAACGTATACCATATAAGGCGTTTTCTGCAGTTGATGGTTGCACGTGTGCAATGTGTATACGTGTGGTAATTATGAAATGAAACATGTCACCACACACAAAAGAATAAAAAGACTATTTGGAAGTCTAAATTGTTTAAGTATTATAATTATTGCGAACATACTGACTTAACAAATTGTTTAATTGACGTCAGTGTAGGTGTGTTATAGGCGCGGCAAAGAACTTCCAGATATTGGAATGTTGGTTTATAAGAAGTTTATGAATTGTTGGTATGCTCATGCCAGCGTGTCTCATCTGAGAAAACGCGGCAATCATCTGAAAGAAACGTATGCGCGTGACTATTAAACCAATCATTGGCCTTTGTCGCGGTTCACATCCTTTCATCAATAAATTCTTTGACTGCAGTTTCAGATACAACACAGAATGTGTATGCATACATGTCTGTGCGTGTGTGCGCGCACGCGTCTGTGTGTGTTTGTCGTGGGGGAGGGGGTAGTCGGTATGGCCATCGAATTAACTCACATACTATAACTATTGCAACTACTACAGACACTGGTACCACTTGTTACTACTACTACTACTACTACTACTACTACTACTACTACTACTACTACTACTACTACTACTACTACTATTGCTGCTACTACTACAACTACTACCACTACTACTATTGCTGCTACTACAGACACTAGTACCATTGTTACTACTACTGCTGCTACTTCTACTACTACTACTACTACTGCTACTGCTGCTACTACTGCTACTACTGCTACTAAGTTCTTAAATAGTTATCAGCGCGCAACTTCTATATTATTGCCTGCCTTGTGACCTGAAAACTATCATGTGAAAATATTGTAGCAATGAAACATTTACCTCAACACATTGACAGTACGAAATCTGCACAGCAATATCACACAGATTTACGTTCTATTGTGAAAATACGATAAATATATCGAGCTCCGTAGATTTTAGATTTCGGCGGTGAAATGGTTTTAAGAAATGATTCGATTCTAAAGGAACGTTTTTTTAATGGATAAAACCCCTTTAATACCGTTACATTATATCTGGGATAAACAGCATTACGTTAATTTCCCAAACTATGTTCCTGTAATTGCAACCCGTAGAACTCATTGTTCTCTACATTGTTTGAACAAACAGTCAAATGACTGATAATATTCTAGTCTCAGAAGAAAAATGGGAATTGTCCCCATAAATAAACATCAATATCAATGCCATGATTAAAATGTGTTTACAATTATGAATTAATTTGTCGAAGTCGCTCATTTATAAGGCTTGTTTGTAATGAATATGTTTGGCGTTGATATGTTGCAAGGCAAACAAGATCCTGAGTTATCCGACATAATTAATGATTCTGAATGGCGCTAATTTTTCACCAGAGAGTAAATCGAATATGCTAATGAGGCACGTCGTACTCCTTCGTACCATGGTGAAGCGATTTACATGTATAACACCGACAACATGTAATGAATTACCGGCGTTTGTATTGGATTATGTCGACCTTTATTCCTGCTCAAACAAAGGTAATTATTATTGCACAATAAAATTTTCACGATAACAAATGTTTTATGCAACAAATCGTTAAATTTGGAAGACAAATCGCGTCCAATGCGAGACGGCGTCTTTCTGCCTCTACACCAGTCTGTGAACAGTCTAACGATCGGTTACAAACATTAATGATATTCAAATTTTAAATATTCATTAGATTCACTCCTTTGAACTTTGTATGATTCGAAATGCATTGCATAAAAATTAGCAACGGTTTGTACATTAATATGGGCATACACAATATTATGTTAGTACTTCGTACGCGCATCCCCAGTACTCAACATGATATACACTGTGTCGACTTATGTAGGATATGTAATATTTTATAGCTTATCATTTTAAAAATGAAACCCAAAGGCCAAAATAATAACAAGGTAAATATGTTTGTTTATGACATTCAGTAGCAGTTGTCACCTTGGCTTTTAATCTCAGCTGGAAACATCTAATTGTGTTGTTTAATCAGATCTCGGGTAGAGATATACCTTGTCTTGTGTCAGAACTGATGTATGTCGGATGCAATGAGGCTAAAGGTGTTGGTATCAGACTGGAGTAAAAAATATATATGATTCAGTGTCATATTACACTGTTGAAATTCCACTCTAGGTCCTTCCTTGACCTCAGGGGATAATAGTTAGGAGATTCATTAAAAAAATCAATATATACCATATTTTACCTCTATTTTCTGCGTCTTTGAACAATGCGTAGGCTCTCACACGCGCAACGCAGTTAAACTGACACAAATTACACACAATGTCATAGTTAAACATGCATCAACGTAAAGATGTTGATGAAGGATGGAAACGTGGTGTGTCATACCCCAATGTGTGCTTCTGTTCCTCGGTGTAAAAGTGCCGCGAGTAGGAATTTTAATTCTTCAATTAAAATACGACACCATTCTCTTGGCGTAATTTCGTTTGATGTGTCTATTATGAAATGCTAGATCTCTAAAAGGCCTTGTCTATTCATTGCTAGATCTCGGTGAATTAATTCTCTATCGGAGAATATAAAGACTGGGGCTTTGATAGTGCAGGAAAATACCATTTGGGTTATCCTTGGATGAGAAGAGTGTTGTAGTTTTGGGTTTTTTGATAAAGGTTGGAAGTTGTCACAAGTTACTCATTCGTTGCCCAGTTCATTTAATGTAAAGTGTAAACACCAACAACCTGTAAAGATGGAGCTGAGAATGTGGGTGTGGGTGTGGGTGTGGGTGTGGGTGTGGGTGTGGGTGTGGATGTGGGTGTGGATGTGGATGAGGATGAGGATGTGGGTGTGGGTGTGGGTGTGGGTGTGGGTGTGGGTGTGGGTGTGGGTGTGGGTGTGGATATGGATGTGGGTGTGGATGAGGATGAGGATGTGGATGTGGGTGTGGATGTGGGTGTGGATGTGGATGTGGATGAGGATGTGGGTGTGGGTGTGGGTGTGGGTGTGGATGTGGATGTGGATGAGGATGTGGGTGTGGGTGTGGGTGTGGGTGTGGATGTGGATGTGGATGAGGATGTGGGTGTGGGTGTGGATGAGGATGTGGGTGTGGATGTGGATGTGGATGTGGGTGTGGATGTGGGTGTGGGTGTGGGTGTGGATGTGGATGTGGATGAGGACTACACCTGAACAGGTATTTGACAAAGTGTATCACCCAAACAATAAAACCTAGTGAATCTCAAATTCATTAATTATAGCTCGCTCAACATGAAACGAGAAAGCTTTCAAAATCGTTTTTCGTTGTTATTCTTTTGAAATGCCAAGGGCATAATATTTGATATCAGTTCAAATCTAATGAATTTCAAAGTTCCAATTCTAAGTGGACAAAGATCCACTTCACGATCACAAAGTGTCATTAAATCAAATATGATATAAAAAAAGGATATGAAAACTGAAAATTCGCGAGTACTGATTAAACCGAGTGCTTATTGGAATCA